TGTTGTCCGAAGCATGGTATACGTTGTTCGTCTTATCATACTGAACCCTATCTTTTTGCTTAAGTGATGTAAAATATAGTGTATTTTGCCTAAAATAACGACACGTTGGCTTATATACTCTGACGTGAAACTCTTGCGAATTGATGGCCCTCGTAGAAGCAATGATTCTTTCATTATTAACTGCAAACGGAACAAAGTGACCAAGAAGTTTCTCCTCAAGTAAATACTCGATTAAAAACTCATCCAGCTTTAGGGTCCAATGGAGGTCGTAAAGATAGTTGGCATGCACTATACCAAAACTCGGAGCCATTGGAATTTTAGAACTTAAAATTATAATTTTTTTTTAAAATACCTAATCTTTGTGGTTTAATTCCTGCATTTGTGGACTATTTTGGTGTTCAGTGAGGTAATTAAATTGGAAAATATCATGCTTGATAATCAATAATGCATTACATGATATAAGCCAGAAAATATAGTTTTCATCTTCGTTATTTCCAATCAATTCAACTTTGCAGAAAAGTTGAAACCTACCTCTAGACGTGCATGGGGTTGTCATAGAATGTCCCTTCCAGTCTGCATATTTTGACCAAATAGATAAGTCAAATTAATGGTCATTTTAGTCTTACATGAAGGTAGGTGATCCCAACATAACTACAACTCATCTCAGAGTCGTGTCGATGAACTGGAAGCAAATTCTGCGTCCACTGCATGTTTTGCCACCCCTATGGATTACACACTTGATTGGTCGTGGTACTAACTCCGTCAATGTATCATTTGCTTTTATGTTTGTACTTGTTTATTAGTCAATGTTGTCATATTTTTCATGTTTATGTTTTAAGCACGCAGTACGTTGTGTTTGGGCTGTTTAGTTGTTCCATGATCACTTTTGTTATGGTATGCACTGCAGTTTGAAATGTATGGTTGTGGAGATTATGACGGCATATTATCTACGTTTTCTGTGTACCATGTTGATCTTCACCCGTGCGTTGTTTGTAATTTGGTTTCTTTATGATTCTAATATCCTTTAATTTGGGTTTTTTGTGATTCGTAGATTCTAATGTTTGGAACTGCTATAGAGATTTTAATGTATTTATGTCATCATGTAAATATATCATTACAACCATATTACACAAGCCCTCAATTAACATACCTGCAAAGACACAAGTTACACTGAATTATGAAAATAAAATCACAGGAAGTTTACTAAAGTACCAAATAACTAGCACATCAATCATTTTTTCAATGCATGCAAGTTTACCAAAGTACCAACAAGATATAACCCGAAGTTTTTCAAACACATAACAACATAAAAAGTGTCAAAATAAACATGATAACCTGATAGTTTAAACATCTAATTTCACTACTCTAAACTGAGAAATCTCCACGGAATTAAAGTAAATACCATGGTTCTGAAAACTGAACCGATCATCGAACCGGTGAAACTTCTGGTTCACTGGTCAGACCAGCGGTCGAACCGTTTCAATTAATATATATTCTTTTTATTTATTTTATATGTATAATATATAATTATATATTTTTATCATTAATTTTATAATATATAACATTTTTCTAAATAAGAGCATCTACAATGCATTGGGTCTAGTCTTGCCTATGTGACATGTAAATAAACCCAAGTTTTGGATGACATGGAAAAATTCACTCCAATGCAAAGAGACTAGGTCTCTACTTGGGTCTAAAATAGACTTAAGGGTATACCGGGTCTCTTTTTCTGGCTGCCACATCAACAGGACCAAGTCTACTTTTGTTTACATTGGAGAATATATTTTTTTAGACTAGATCTATTTCTTAAGTGACATACAATTTTTTGTGATTGAACCCAAAGCATTGCGGATGCTCTAAGAGTTCAATCATAGAGAAAATAGAAACAACCAATTCCTTATTTTATGTTGGAGACTTTATGTTGTTAACTTTCTTTTCTTATTTTATTTTTATATTTGAATTTTTAATCTATATTTAAGTTACAAAATAGAGGGAATAGAAACAACCCAATTTTCATTTTAAATCACATTGTAAATCTTTTATTATTGATTAAGAAAAAAGAAAATAATGTGGATAACAAATAACAATATATTGCTTCTTTAAAAAAAAAAAAAGAAAGAAAAATGGGAATAGATATAGCCCAATAGATAATCCACTTAAAATAACAATACATTTTTATAATGAGTATAATTTTGCTTGTTAAGCCCAATATTGACCCAATAATTTCACTAAGGAAACATATCCCACATAGGAAATATAAGTAAAAAGGCTGTGCTATTTAAACCACTTCACAATCTACCAATTTCAAATTCGTAAGCTTGAACCGGTGAACCATTTGCACCGGTCGGTTCGAACGGTTCTTGACTGGTTCACCTGCTTAGCGGTTTGATGGCTTAAATCGGACCGGAATGAAGGCCGGTTCCCGGTCCAACTGGTTGAACAGGCCGGTCCTGTCCGGTTTTCAGAACCATGGTAAATACACACTCAGAGTTTTCCACAACTCCCGTATGTTTAGTGAATTGCCGTGTATTGCCATCTTTCAGCCGTTTCTTCCAATGAGACTGGTTGATGTATGTTGGGAGTTTAACAACTTATGTGTTATATTGTTGCACATGTTCCATAGTTGTCAGTGTTTGCAAATTTATTTATTTAGTATGTTATTCTTTTTATGTATAAACTTCAACTAAGAAATTTCTTTTTTAGGTTCTTGCTTTCTCAGGCTATTGGTGGACAAAGTCGTACGCTGTTGTTGCTTGCATAGCATTGTTCGTTTGTTGTTGTCAAGTTGGCCATATAGTTTTTCTAGGTGCTATTTTGTATCATATTTCTTGGTGATATAGTTGCTTTTATACGTATGTAGTTATATAATGTTGTGTCGTTATTCTTTATGGCCATATGATAACAATTTAAGTTCCCCCTTTTTGTTGCGTTTATAGTTTACTATTTCACTATGTTGTGCGATAAATTCTTACATCTGTAATTTGTGCTTTTCTGAATTTGACATAAAGCTGCTTACGACTACAACATAGTTAGAGTTGTTGCTATGCATATATGTTATGTACAAATAACAACGGTGACTTATTTCATCTCTGGTTTAGTTTTGTTGTTTTGCTAATTGCGTGGCACTCCTACCTTAAGCTCTTAAAGACTAACTGACTTTCATTAAAATAGTTAGCCATGTGAATATCTGTTTAAAAGATTAATTGAAGATAAGGTCATTTGTTCTTTCTTTAAGGTGTATTTCTGATGTCTTTTTAGGAGACCTTGCAGCTTCTTTTGGTTATACTTTCGGGTAACTTATTTGTTATTTATTTGAATATGTTGCATACAGGGGTTGCAACATGTATTTCCTTTCGACAAAAAACATTGTTTTATTCGTTATTATATTCTTAGTCATCACATATATTTTAAATAACTTCTTCTACTTTTCACTTTCAATACTGATATATGCAGATCAAAATGTCCCGGGTGTATCTACTGTTTTGTAGTATTTTGAGGGTAGTTGGTAACTGAGCTACCCGACCTCGAGTCGTTCTCAAAGGAAGACGGTTCGGAGCTTCGTTTACCACTCAATTGTCCAAATCACACAAAATAAAAAAAATAAAAGCTAAACATGCTAATCAATTTGGGTTGGGGATGGATTAACACTAATTGATGCTCGAAATTGAAAGAAACAATAAACGAGAGAGTAAAGTAATTAACACTACCGGAGTCTCTAAGCCATCGACATCAAACAAACTCAATGACGAACAATTTGCAAGTTCTAAGCACTAGGTCACTAATCCTAACCTTCTAACCTAAGTGATTAAGCTCTAAATAGAGTCTTAACCCTTAATCTAGATAGGCAAGTAATTAATCCCTACTAAAACAAGCAAGAGCAATGACCAAGTCCAAACATTCCCTCCATCATCAAGCAAACACCCAAAATCACCTTGATAAACATCATAAGTAAAAATGGGGCAAAAAATCGAAGTAATGAGCTTTAAAAGTAAATACCCAATCTTCTATTGCGTGCTAGACGAAAATAGGAGTCAAAAGCTCGGAACTTGAACAAAATAAGAGTCGCCGGAAAATTTGCCAGAAAATGATGTCAAAGAGCTCCCAAGAGAGAGAAGAGAGAAAACTAAAAGGAAAATAGTTATTCCCAAAGTGGGAAAGTGAAAAATGAAATCTAGATGTCCCAATAACAAAGGACCAAAATGTATTTATAGTTCCAGCTCAAAACACGCACAAAAACACGCACATTAAATGGCCATACTCTCGAGCTCGCCTACGAATTCGCGGGTCGCGGATGGCAGTGGCACGGGCAAGTCACGAGGTAGCGCGGGCATGGCACGGGGTGGCGCGGGGGAAACTTGCTACTCTCGAGCTGGCGAGCTGATCCGCGAGGCGCGGGTGGCAGATGGGAGGACTACTCTCGAGCTCGCGGCGGGGCTCGCGTGCGCGGACGGCAAGATGCGCGGACACTCTCGAGCTGGCGGCTATCTTCGCGGGCGCGGACACGGGGACGGCACGGGCTCGGCGCGAGGCAAGGGACTACTCTCGAGGTCGCGTGGGTCTTCGCGTGTCGCGGGTTCCAGGACAGCAGCATCTCGCGTCCATGTGGCGCGGGTCCTGGCGCGCGGTCGTGAGTGGCCCTGGGCAGCGGCACAATGGCTCGAAATTCTTGGAATGGAGACGGCTCGTACGATTGGTTCGAAACTTCTTGGGATTCTTTTGAAAATGCTCGTCTCTCGGAATTCAGTTCGATTCTTCTCTTATCATCCTCGAAATAATCCTGAAAATACACCCAAGAGCACGGAAAGTACGCCAAAAATAGAATAAAAAGAAAAACAAGGAAAAATACAAGAAACACGATAAAATGGACCGGATAACACTAAAATGAACCTAAAAAGACCAAACTAAAACACATAAAAAACACGAAAATAAGCACAAAAACACAATAAACATCTACCTATTAGCCAAATTAAAGATGAAACAAACAACTGGACTGCACTTATTCAAGTTGTTGAAACGGCCGCCTGTTCAAATAAGCAAAAATGTCAACAATGCTTTATCGCAGATTTTTGTTTACTGATGAAGAGGTATAAATATACACTTTGTTTATCTGTTTTCATGGTTAAATAAAAAAATACAAAGTCTAACTACTATTGGTTGATCATTATTATTGTACACAGCGTACAAATGTTTCTGCGGTTGCTTATAATGCTGTTATTAAAGAATTTGCTAAGCTTCTTCTGCCATACAAAAGATACTACCTTTCTGGAGCAAAGGTTCGACCAGAGATTCCTTTGTATCAAGTTGGTGATTCCAGGTACAATTGGCTTATAGTTACGCGTACTCACACCGAAGTATACCAAGAATCCCTCCCTCCACAGCTTCTATGCAAAATTGATATCCATACATTTGCAAACATACACAAATATGCTGACACGGAAAACCGTAGAAGTGAGTTTATTGTACAAATACATACAACTTATCATGCTACACTAGTCTATAATTTTCAAGTAAACAACATGCATAACAGTATACCTAACTTTCGTTTTTTTTTTCCACACCATGTATATTCTGTTAGTCCTTTTGGCAGTTGTTGTCCGGTCAAGACTCTAGGTGAAAATTAAAAAACACGGGACTTGGTCATTGTCCATCAAGAGTAAAAAAATATTTTTTAATGAATAAGGTGTCATATATCCTCTCTGTTTATCTTTTTCTATTGTATAGGGAAAAGCCAATGCTCTTAACACTATGGAACCAATTTGAAGAGGATAAAGGTGCACACTTAGCTAACACTGTATCAGCTGGAAATGTCCTTCTTGCTATGTGAGTAAGGGTAGTCACGTTCAACGGTGAGTCTCAGCATTAATCATTCTTTGGCAAACCACAATATTAATTCAGATAACACAACATAATTTTTTTTTTGCCATTTTTCCCCCAAAGTCTGTCTTTAAATACAAAAGTTGGAACTTGCTTGATGGTCAATCCACCGATGTCTGCAGCAGCTGAATTAAAACAGTGGTACGATACATTTTCTTTTCTAATATTCAGATAACCAAATCTAAATGCATTTATATTCACATTCCTAAAAACTTGTGTAGGTATACTTAAAACAAAAACCGTGTGTCACAACATTTGAATGAAGAAGCATACATAAATACAGACAGACTCATCCCATTGCCTGAAACGAACGACTGATGTCATTACTATTAAAGATGCCTTAGCATCAATCAGATATGTAAGCAATCAGCATTTTACTGATTTTGACGAACCACCCCTACTTACACATTTATTTTTCAACTATTACTTCAGGTCAAAACTTGTTGGATAAGCGGGAAAATCAAATTCGTTAATGACAATAGGCCTTTATGGACAGCCACGTGCCACGTTTGCCTCAAGAATTACAACATGCCTCCAAACACCCCAATGAAGTGTCGCAGCTGCCGAGAAGACTCTCATGTTGAAGAAGCAAGGTATCATTTACAATTCTATCAAGTAAATTAAAAACAGACAATATTATAAACTTAAGGTTGCATCAAATAACTATTTAATTTCAATAGGTGTCGGTTACCAGTAGCGATTCAAAATAAAATTGGAACCATATATGCAATCATCTATGGTGCTGATGCGGAACAACTGATCCCTTATAACAACAATGAACTTTTTGAGGCAGAACAACAGGTGACTACATCCTAAACACCTAAACTTTTTTCGCTTTTATATAGACAATCTAAATGAATAATCACATATATAAATATAAATTTGCATATTTTTCTCCTAATATCATTGCTATAAGTACCAGATCACTTGTAAAAGAGAATCTGCTACTTCCCCCTATTAAGTTCTTGCTTAAAAATATTTTTGCTTTCAAAAGACTGAAAAATGCACATTATTGTTTTTTTACCTCGACACAGACTCTTAAATTTGTCTTGCATTTTCAAACTAATTTTAACTCAAAAGTCATGGTTGTCATCATGTAACCTGTTAGTATATTCATTGGAAAATAGCTAAAATGATACACAAAAAGAGTAAGCTCAAAATTAACACATTGGATTATTTATTAAAAAAATAATTAAAATGTTTATGAAGCAACCATTCAGACAACTTTGATACATTTCATTATAATTTTTGTGCAGACATGACTTATCTAAAGAAATTGCTGCATCAATAGCGCAGCACCAAGTTGTCTGTTTCATTAAACAGTCAGAGTCTACTTACCACACAATACTCAAGCTTTACATTGCCGAGATGATGGTGGTTCAGGGTGATATGACTGAAATGAAATCATCTACAAAAGAACATCAACATCAACATCACCAAAGGTACCACATAATATATTATACAGTAACTCAACCATATTGAAGAAATATACTATAATAACTAATGATTTTTTATGAAATAGGCAACCGATAGTAATCTATTCAGCCGGACTCTTAAAAATGTGATGGAATCCGTCGCCATCAAAGATGAAAAAGCCCCGCATGCACCCACTCCAGAAAGCTCGACCAAGAAGCGGATCAACTTCGATAACCAACAAATCACCACACAGGCAACCAGCGCAACTACACCACAATCCTCATCACACTCAACCCTTCAAGGAACTGTCAATCCTACTGCAACCCCTGCAAGCCCTTCAAAGAAAAGTCGCCCGAAAATGGATTAAAGACTTTGTACCTGAACTTTAAACTTTTGCTGCCACAATTACCATTAAAATGGTTGTTTTGTTTTTGTACATCCTACCAGAATTACAAGCATCTATTTAAAAATAGATGTTTACTAATTCTGTAAACGTGCTGCTATGTATGCCCTCTTTTGAAATTGCCACTTTTTATGCTTGTTTTGTTGTCTGTAGCAACACTTAAAATATTATATCTATTTTGATTTCGCAAGGTAGAAAATTCAAGTGTGTGCCATTCCTTTTACATACAATACCACAGGTACATAACCATCACTTTATCTTCATTGGGACAACCGTGCACAGCCAGAGCCACCTAGTATATATATAGAGAGAAGAGATCATATGAGAATGATAGATAGTGAAAGAAATAAGAATGATTGTGGACCAATGGATCCGTCAACCTAATGGTCATGATCAAGTCAAATTTTTTTAGTGTCAGTCAAATATGTTATGGAAATCTCGTAATTAAGTGGTTATATGGTGGTCAAATACATCCATTTAATCACTTATTAAGGGTATTGTAGTCATTAACAATAAATCTCAATTATTAGTGGGCCCCACTCCAACTACCCTAATTTTATTATCTCTCACATACTCACACACACAAACACACACAACTCCCACAGACACACACACACACACTGCTGCGGGCACACACATAAACACACAAACACAAACACACACACACAATGTCCACTGGCGACCTCCACCTGCTGCCACCCGCCACCCACCACCGCCACCAACAGCCGTCCGTTTACTCCACTCTCGCCGTCGCCCCTTTCTTCTGCTCCTGCCGTTGCCCTTTCCTCCATGCTTGTTGCCGCCCCGGCCATTAACATCGATGACCATCGCTGGACCACCAGAACAACCACCAACCTCTGTCGAACCCCTGCTGGACTAACAGATACTTAGTCCGCCGTTCGCCGGGATGAGTTCTCAACCTGTTGCCTCCGTCGGCCGGACATCGCCGACTACCTTGACGAAGCCCCCGTCCTTCAGATCCGTTTGTCATAGCCCCTGCATCGAGTCGTCAATATCGCCATCGCCATCACCGTCCTTCCCGTCCCCTACCTTCAGATCTGTTTATTTTTCTGTTTGTTTTATTTTCATTTTTTTTGTGATGAAGTCGCCGGGAGGCTACCGGCGGGATGTGGCGGCGTTCTCCGACGGCGTATAACAGGTCGCCGGCGAGGAGTTTGCGGCAGGTGGTTGCTGGTGGTGAGCCATGTGAGGGTGAAAGAGTGTTTATGACCTGGGGCTCATATTTGAGAATTAGATATAAAAAAGGGGCTCAATTGCAATTTTAAAAAGTTTTAATAAATCTCAATTTAATATGTGGGTCAAATGCATAATTTATACAAATAAATAAAATATACAATGATGCTAAATAAATTGGATAATATTGTGTGATAAATGCAAATATGATTGAGATTTTAAGGGTAAAAAGAATTTACTTGGACCAAATTATTAAATCTTGTGCCGAACAATTTAATTCATCTTTGGTAGATATTGTGCAATCAGGCAGTCGTTAAGGTGCAATGTGTGTAATGTTATTGTGCAATCGTGGTGCATAATAATAATAATAATAATAATAATAATAATAATAATAATAATAATAATAATAATAAGAATAAGAATAATAATAATATAGTTCGTTCGTATGGTTATTTTGGTTTAAAAAAAAAGCTGACATCACACCAAAATAATTAAGTTTCTTAAAAGTAAATCGAACCGAAATAAAGTGCAACGTGTTGTTTTATGAAATGCACTACTTTATACAATAGCAGGTAAATTATGTGTATTTGGAAACTGGTTGTAATAGATATAATTGTACATTGAATTAACTTAAATAATTAAAATATTTTATTATTTATTATTATAAAAATATATTTAGTCTTTTAATATATTTGTATATTATTGTATGGTTAAAAAATATATTTTAAATTTTAAAATTATATTTTTATGGATTTTAAATATATATGTATATAATGTTTTATATTCATTTTGGTCGGTACATACACTAAAATAAAATATCTCGAACACAAAAATTGCAATCTAACAGTCGTTAATGTGCATGTTTTTCGGCCGCTATGTGAAGTCTGTAAGGACCGGACATTCGTCCCAACCAAATTGAAACCGAACGCTAGTGTGCATTTCAATTTTAAACTTTTTTAATAATGGTTATTTTAATTAAAATTACTGTGCACTTATCAAATTATTTATGTAATAACAATATATTTATATTTATAATTTTTGTATTTAATATTTTATATTATTAATCTAATTAACATGACCCTCTACACTTGCAGGTGGCGGAGCTCTGTGATAGAGACGTCATGGTCAGTTCCTGACGGATTGGAGGACGACGGCGACTAGAGCTCCGGCGTCGAACCAGACAACGGCGTTTGGAGTGCCAGTCGGCGGCTGCGTGCAGGACTTGCGACGGCGGCGTTTGACAGTCGGCGACTGCTTGCAGGTCGGGCGATGGCGGCGTGAAGACGGCGGCGGTCTGGTGGAAGTTGGCGAGTCTGTACAGTGGTGCCAGTATGTGTGTGGACGTGTGTGTGTTTGTGTGTGGTCGTGTGTGTGTGTGTGTGTGTGTGTGTGTGGTGTATGAATTGCCAACCTAGTGTACAACTAGGTTGACAACACAATTAAAAACATCCATAAAAATAAAAATAAAAAAAATACACAAGTGGATGTTTCAACTTGTGTATCATTTTTCATATATAATTATTAGCAACTCATTAAATACAATATGAAAATTTTACCTACGTGCACTTAACTTTTCAAAATTTGATTTTGTTAATTAAAAGATACAAAAACTGTTACATTTTATTTTAATCGAGTAATAGTTATATTTGTTTATTGTATCATATAATAGTTATTATTGGAATTAATAATTATATTTTACTCGAAATGATATATGAAAGTTACATAAATATAAAAAAAAAAATATATTGTAAATTTTTTTTGTTCAAGTTATTTATTCTAAAATCAATATTATATTCTTTTATCTGATTAAATGATTGTTTTTCAAATAAATTAATTTGTATTAATGTCATAGTAAAACTACTCAAAATCGTATGTGCAATTGTTATTATAAATTTAATATTTTTCAACTAATTAAGTGTTCATGTTCCCTCAAATTTACGATTATGACATTTATGCAACCAATATAATAATTCATATGCAATCAAATCGTTATGTACTATTTTAACCAATGATCCTATTCTAAACATAATACCATTATCGAACTTAAAATTTTAATATTATATGCATAAATATAACTTATAATACTCTATGTTTAAAATATAATATGTACCATTATATAACTTATAATTTAAATATTATATATGCATGCAACAACTGATAATTCTTTATTTACAAATGTGAAAATTCACAAGGCGGAATACTAGTTGGATAAATATCCACAAATATTAATAAAAACCTGCTAGAAATGTTAAATAGGCTTCGGTTTGTACGGAAAACCCGTTTATTTTGCGCAAAAATCCCCCTTATATACAATTCCGAATGTGCTGAGTAGCAGACTTGCATGCATGCTTCGTGATCCTATGCGGCAAAGTTCCATGCTTTGTTATCTGGCTTGGATAAAAATTGATTTACTTTCAATGCAAAAATTTTTATATTCGGATTATCCATAAATATGTTGATTATTTATGGTCCTTTTAGATATATTAATTGCATTTTAATATCAATTCCTATTATAGCCATTGAATTGTACATGTGTTTTAAAAGTTGATAACTTTTGTAGTTGTTTATCGATTTTACATATATAATATATCAAATTAATCATCTCTTGATGAGGTTCTATTTGACATCAATATTGTATGTATAAAATAAATAAATTATATTTGTCTTTATAATACAATTATTTATTAATATTTACTAGAAAAATAAAATTATTTATCAATTAATATATTTATGTTTAAAGTAGTCATATGATATAAGTTAAAAAAATTATTATAATATAGCACTGGTAAGTCTCACAAGAACAAGTGTCATTCTAAAATATATAATATTGTATATTTTTTGTGAAAACTATTTAAATTTTAAGATAATTTTTCTTATTAATTTTAAAATTTAAGAATAGTTTTTTTAACAAGAATCCGTGTAATACATGCGTGTCGTACTAGTAGAGTTAAGATTCTCTAATTTACATATCGTTTAAATATTTTCTTTATTGGGACTATTCAGTTCGATTCTTCTAATAAGATCATTTACATATCGTTTACTTAATTTTTTTTATTGGGACTATTCAGTCCGATTATTTTAATAAGATCATTTTATCCATAACCCAACTCAACTCAATCTAACAATTAAAAAATATTTCTCTTTCCTCTATCTACGCAACTCTACCTTATAATCCAACTTATCTTTATCCTCAACTCAACCCAGCATAGAATATTTATTTTATAATTTAAGTATTATCTACAATTGATTTGTGTGACAGAAACTGAGAAAAACGGGTGCGGGCCAACTAAACATGAAGCGCACTAAAGCGGGGAAAGCCCATATGAAGCTCAAGTGGGATTCCATCCCAAAACCAATTGGTGGAAGGAGGAGTAGCTCATTGGTCTTATAAGGTGGGTCTATTTTCCATGTATGAACGATGTGGGACAACTCATAAGTGATATTCTAACACGCCCCTCACTTGTGAGTCCTTCGAAAGCCCAAGTCCAACTGAATGGGAGACGGATACGTCATCGCATGGTCCCACATAGAACCTTGCTCTCATAGCATGACAGAAACTTGGGAAAAATGGGTGCGGGCCCACTAAACATGAAGCGCACCAAAGCGGGGAAAGCCCATGTGAAGCACAAGTGGGGTTTCATCCCAAAACCAATTGGTAGGAGGAGTAGTCATTAGTCTTATAAGGTGGGTCTATTTTCCATGTATGAACGATTTGGGATAACTCACAAGTGATATTCTAATAGTGTTATTGTTTTTTAGTTGTGACAAATTAATTTAAAAACTTTATAATTAAAGTCGTAATTGTTTCAAAAAAATTAATAATTTACCACTATAGTTAAGAAAAATTATGAACTCAATTAAAATTTGAAACTACAAAAGATAGAATAAAATATTGAAATTAGTTAAAAATTTACAAACAATTCGAATAAAATCACACATCAATTTACCTAATAGAAAAATTGCAATTGTGTTACAAAATATATCAAATATGGTTTTCGTTTATAGAGAATGGAAAAATACTAGTTTTAATAATTTTTATATTATTTTTTTATTTTCAATATAAATTTATCCTTAAAAATATAAAATATTTTTTATCTTATTTAAAAAATATAGTTTTTAAAATTGGACAAATGTCCCATTCCTCTCTCTTCAATGACGCAGGTCNTGAAAAAAGTAATTATTATTATTATTTTTCAATGATATAATACTCAATTACTTATTCTAATGTGAAATTTGTGGTCATATTAAATTTTTATGATTATTTAAAGAATATAATATGATTACTTGTCTTTTTGGTATATAAGAGAAACATGTAATATACATAATATTATTTTATAATTTTTTAGATTTATTATTTTATCATAATAATTTAACTAAAATAAATTTAGTTAAAACAAATGTGTAGTTTTAATTTAAATGTTTGCATTTAAATTTGTCATTCAAAACTTTTATATATGGTACGTCAATAGCTTATTTAGCTAGAAACCCGCTAGAATTAAGGTTAGTTCAATATATTGCTAACACGTTTAAATCAAAGTTTTTTTAAAAAAAAAAAAAGAAAAAAAACACAATTTAGCAAATTTAGCTAGGAAAATTTTGAATATCTTAAAGGTGCTAA